TTTCTGCAGCGGAACAGCTGGTAGTTTTGAACTGCTGACCCTGAGGTTCGCAGCCCGATTCTAAACCACTATGCTACCAGAGCTCCTTACTATAAAGACTTTTAATTTACAGAATGTTTTTTATAAACATAATATAGCATTTATAATAAAACACCAATTCTACCTACTGACTAGAATGTTGTTGTTCAGTGTCACTGAGTTAATGCCAACTCAAAGGATTTCAGAGGAGTGGCTGGTAGGTTTGGAAGCCAGAATGGTCAGACTTCATCTCTCATACTTTGGACATGTGTTCAGGAGGGACCAGTCACTGGAAAAGGACATCATGTTTGGTAAGGTGGAGTGTCAGAGGAAAAAGAGGAAGACTCCCAGTGAGATGGATTGGCACAGTGGCAGTATCAATGGGCTCAAGTGTAGCAATGATTGTGAGGTTGGCCCAGGACTGGGCAGTGTTTCATTCTGTTGTGCATAGGGTCGCTATGAGTCGGTACTTACTCGACGGCACCTAACAACAACAATCCAGTGCTTATCCTACATTACTATTATTATTATTAGGAGCTCTGGTGGTGCAGTGGTTACGAATCGGGCTGCAAACCGCAAGGTCAGCAGTATGAAACTACCAGCTGTTCTGCGGGAGAAAGATGAGGTTTTCTGCTCCCGTAAAGATTTACAGCCTCAGAAACCCTGTACAGGGTTGCTATGAGTTGGAACCGACTCCATGGCACATAACCACCACCATTATTATTATTATATTTTAAAAAAAGAGCCCTTCCTTAACAACTAAAATAGAAATAAAAGTCTGTCAATCTCATGGACCAATTTTCAGCCAATCAGTAGACAGGTTTATAGGGGGTGGACAGCAGCACTACTAAAGGTGTGCTTATCATGGAATGGTCAATCATTCAGGATTAAAAGGGCAACATTTTCCTAAGGACAAAATTAAGAAGGGATAGAAGGTGGGTGGAATGCAAATGGAAAACACAGGGAGGAAGCAGGATAACTGCTGCTGCTGTTAAGTGCTGTAGAGTTGGTTCTGACTAATACTTACCTTGGATATGGTGGGTTTCCAAAGAACAGCCAGTGGGCTTGAACCGTCAACCTTTGGCTTGCAATCCAGTATTGAGGGGAATATAATCACTGAGATGAAACAAAGTGTATGATTTGTTGAATGTAAAACTGATGGTCTTGTCTGTAAACCTTGACTCAGTTCACAACAAAAGGTTACCAGAAAAAAAAAAAAAAAAGAAGTAAGAATCTGCATCTCTAACAGTAAAAAGATACTGGTAAAGATTTTGCTGTGGTGGATATATCAAGAAGGAAAAACAATAACAAAAAACCCTGAAGATGAAATTTATTAAGAATTTCCATGCCTTTTCAGTTAATCATATGGTTTATTGATGGTAGACTTGGTGATGAAATGAGTGCCTAAAAGTACTACAGTACATTATGTGATAAAGTCAGAACTAAGAATTTTATGTAAAGAATATTAACGAGATCAAACACATGTAGTCATTTAAAGTTACAATGATTAAAAGACACCTTCTCCTCTCCATTCATCTGTGCAAAGCTGTGCTCTGCAAGCATGAAACTGTAGTCAAAGAATCCCTCTCAGAAATGAATGAGCCACTAAAACTGAAAATGCCACTATTTTTTTAGTGATACTATCTTTCATTCCTCTATCTCCATTCCAAGGCCAAAGTGCTCAGCTAAAATAACTGAGCCTGAAATGAAAATGGTCACTCATCTTGCTAGAGACATGGAACAAAACATCAATCATCAGGTTTAAACTCATGGAATATGGGTCATGGTATATAAGAGGTAATATGGCATATCTGATCGAACAATCTAAAACCCAGAGGAACAAATGACAAGTCAGATTCCAGTGCTAACACACCCATAACTGATTTCACTCCAAAGCATGCCGTTTCTCCCTAGTAATTCAAATTGAAAAAAAAAAAAAAAAATCACACGGGGCTACAAATTCTTAACATAACTTTGAACAGAAATTTAATTAATCTTACTTGCCTACTAGGAGTCCTGGTGTGGTGCTGTGTCTAGCACTAGAATGCAAGGTTGGCTTGAATCGCAAGGTTCGCAGTTCAAGCTCACAAGCCGCTCCTTGGAATCCCTATATATAGGGTCGCTGAGTTGGAACCAACTCAACAGCACTTAACAATAATAACTTGGTTACTAACCCAAAGCTTGGTGGTTTGAATCTTCCTAGCGACAACTTGGAAAAGTCCTGGTGATCTACTTTGAAAGATCACTGCCATAGTAAACCCTTTGAAGCACAGTTCTACTATGAAACACATGAGCTAGTCATAAGTTGAAATCAACTCGATGGCAACTAGTTTGGTTTTACATACATTTTAGGGAATGTTCAAAATAACTATGTTGTTGTTGTTGTTAAATGCCATCAGTAGGCTCTGACCCATAGCAACCCTGTATAGGGTTTCCAAGGAGCAGCTGATGACCCTGAACTGCCAAACATTGCTGTTCAAACCGACTCTGTAGTCCAGCTCATTAGCAACTTGTTGTTGTCGTTAAGTGCCGTGGAGTCAGTTCTGACTCATAGCGACCCTCCACAGGGTTTCCAAGGCTGTAAATCTTTACGGGAGCAGAACGCCTCATCTTTTTCCCGCAGAACCGCTGGTAGTTTTGAACTGCTGACCTTGTGATTCACAGTCCGATTCGTAACCATTATGCTACCAGAGCTCCTACTACAGGTGTGGAAAACAGATTGTTTTACATACTTTCATTAATTACTTAGATTGGAATGATCATCACTACTCTTTCAGTCTATCCTTAAGTGAGCTGTTAGTAAAGGTGACTCATGAAACTAAAGCTATACTGCTTTCTGAGGTTGAATTGCTGTTGTTAAGTGCCATCTAGTCGGTTCCGACTCATATCTACCCCACATAGGATTTCCAAGGAGTGGCTTTGGGCTTTATTTAAACCAACAACCTAGTGGCTAGCAGTTCAAGGTTTATCCTACAGCACCACACCAGGACTCCAAGTTTGGAATACAGGTGTATAAATTATTGAGTAATATCACTTATTTGACAGACTTATGCTGCGGGCCTAAGATGTGTACCTTACTTTGAGGCAATGGCCCTCCATGCCTCTATGAGCTAGTGGGATAACCTGACCTAAAGGGAATAAGTACATGGACAATATTGCTACACATCTGATAAAGGAGATACTGACTACTGTGGGTTGAGGTAAGTTTTAAAGAGAAAGTAGATGAGAACTTGGAAGGATGGTAGAATTCTGAAACTAAAAGATGGGGAGGAGAGGCTTGCAGGCAGATCTTCAGTCTATGAAATATTTTCACATTCACACTTCTTTTGAGGCTTATAAGAGTCCTGGGGAATAGGAAGACAAACATACCCCTGGATTTACTGGCTAAGAAAAGTTGAAGATGAGAAGACTTGCATCAGCTGCTACAATGAACAATAAAATCTGGGCTTGAGCCCACATAATCTGTCTTCTAGTTCACCAGCCCAGGCTAATGTGGGAGAGAATGAGAAAAAAACAACTCAACTAGAGTAAAGACCAGTGCAGGGGACAGGAAAAGATGGGTTAGGCCAGACTGGTCTGGAAAGACAAGCCAAAGAATTTTATCTCTTCAAGCAATCAAAGAGTTTTTAGGCATTATTACAGCAGAATTTTAGAAAGGAGCCTTGGAACAGGGCTGGGCTGCGAACCATAGGTCGTCACGTCAAATTCACCAGCTGCTCCTCAGAAACCCTATACCGGGTCACTATGAGTCGGAACTGACTTGATGACACTTAAGAGCAACATCTTTCTCAGAAAGGAAGAGACCCTTCAGACTAGTTAAGGGAGGGTTCCACACCGACAGCTCTTGGGAATCCTGGTGTAGTACTGTAGGACTGCTGGACTGCTAACCGCAAGGTTGGCAGTTCAAACCCACCTGCTACTCTTGGGAAACTCGATACAGGGGTTGTAATGAGCCCACGCTGACTCGATGGCACTTACCACTACCACCACTGCAACAACATAGGTGAGAGATATTGGGTAAAATAGACAACACACTCGAACAGTAACATTTGTTTATAGAGTACCAAGAAAACAAAGAAACTAACTTACTGTCTCCCTCTCCCTTTTAGAAATCTATTTCTAAACACCTTGTACCAAGAAATTTCACAGATTGTCCAACTAATAACCCAAAGTGTACAGTAATTTACCAGTATCTTCAGAGGTTTTAAATAGGAGTCCTGGTATGGCCCTGCAGGATGTGCACTGGACCACAAGTTCGGTTTGGACTGCAAGGGCCTCAGAAACATTATACAGGGTCGGGATGAGTCAGGACTCCACGGCACTTACAAAATACCTCAAAATTGAAATAATCAACGAGGCTGTGGGAATCACAAGATTACAAATATCAGGGTTTCCTAAACGAGGCATACTTTGACCCAACTCAACGAATAGTATACACTTTACTAAGATTTGCGAAGATTTAGGCTTTTCCATTAAGAACGGTTTGATGTGGTGAACTCCAGGCCCGCTTATTTTCATGTTTAAGTACTGACCCTGCTTACAGCACAGGACATTGTAAAAAGCAAGAATCCAATACATTATTTGTTGAATAAAGGAGTCTAATAAATCCCGTGCAAGAACAACTCCTATGTTACAGGCAACTCTAACGCGGGTCTGTTCCAAAATCAAGTTCCCACGATTTGGCACACAAGTCTGAAAGATAAACGACTCTGCTATCTTCATTAGCCTTCAACTAGGGCCCAATGTAAAGTCCTTACCTTAAGGGTTACCCACAGCAAAGCCACAGAGCCATTTCTCGATGATGACAACAGCTCCAGTTCCCTGCCATGCTCCCCTCCCGCCGCCCGACTTACAAGAGTTGAGGCACTTGAAGAAGTTTCAAAGCCGCCCGCCCGGGCGCCAGGGACAAGCGACTTGGTAAGAAGGGACTACAACGACACCTGCCCGCCCCGCTGCCGGGGAGGCGCCGCAGCTCTACTCACCGCTACCGGACGGCCGTGCTCGGGGCCGTCGGCGGCGTCCAGGCGCTGGGCCGGGGTAGGTGCCGGGACCGGGGCCGTGGCCGGCGGCTGCCGGTGCTTGCCGGCGCGCTTGGCCTTGGCCTGGATGCAGCGCTGATGTAGGGCGAAGGTGTGCTGGCGCTCGAGTTCCAGGCGCTCCGGCGACACGGCCTCGTAGCGGGCCTCGCAGGTGCTGTGGTGGCGCCTGCAAAGCTCGATGCGCCGGCGGAGGCGCTCCATGACCGCGCTATGCCGCGGCAGCGCGAACTCCGCCATGGGGCAGGGGGGCAGCACCATGGGCCGCAGGCTGGGCGGGCCTGGCCCGGGGCCGGGCCTCTCCGGGCCGGCTGGTAAAGTGGGCTCCGCTCCCGCCGGCGGCCCCGGTCCGCCTCACGGCCACGCCATACCCAACGAACTACGGAGCCGGTTCAGGCTGAGACGGGCGGCAGCAAGGCTTCCTCCTGTCCTACTCGGCCACCCCCGGGCCAGTGTTTGCGGCCCACCTCAAGCCTCGGCCTGTCCCCGCTGTCCTGACCCCATTGTTTTCCGCGCCGCTTCCGTCGCCATCTTAAAATTGTTTTCGGGGCTCTCGGTAGAAGGCGGGGCTTCGGCGAGAGACCTCGGGCGTCAGGAATGACAAACAGGGATTCCGGCCAATCAGAGGCGACGCATCAGCTACCCGAGAGTGTGGGGACGCGCACGTAAGCGGCACGCGTACGCTCCCAGGCGGTATTTAAAAGGAATTTAGCGGGGGGAGGGGTAAGGAAAGCTCCTAGAGGCTGGCCAGGCCCCGAAGACCAGGCCCATAAGAAAGGCGGTGACTGGAGGCTTTCTGAACGCTACCAGGGCAGGCGCTTCCGGGTACAATGAGAAAAGCAGGGACCAGGGGGCATGAAAGGAAGGCGGTTGTCTGCTCCTGCAGTTTAGCGTCTCGCCTTTTTCTTCTCCAGTCTCCTTTTTGAATCCGGTTTTGACAAACTCAAAAGTAAGCAAGCGATTTCTGTGCAAACCGTTTTTCCTTGACCTCATTCCTTACATTTAGCCCCATTAACTGCTCAGAAACAATTGGTCGAGTGGCTACTAGTTTCTTTCGCACCATTTTCAATAACTGGGGCTTATATATGACGTTCGATTATTTATACATTTCAAAAGCTCAGATGCTCGCTATTTAAAAAAAAAAAAAAGACGTGAGGAAAAAGTTCTAAGGAGTACCGAGTTTCGGTTTATGTGAAGGTTACAATTGCATTGGGTTGCACTGCCTAATAATGTAATTGCTCTAATATGTTGGGCACCTGTATAAGGGTGAATTTTACATACGTGTATGTGTATATATACTTATGTGTATACACACACACATATATGGAGTCCTGGTGTGGCGCTGTAGGTTAATGCATCATACTTTCAAAGCCGTTTGAACTGCAAGGTTGGCGGTTCAAGCTCAGCAGCTCTCTTCGGAAACTCTTACAGGGTCGCTATGGGTCGGAATTGACTCGACGGCACTTTACAACACATATATATATATTGCTATAAGTACCGTGGAGTCAGTTCCAACTCACAGTAACCCTGCCCTGGGTTCCCGAAGCTGTAAATCTTTTTGGGAGCAGAAAGCCTCATCTTTCTCTCGCATAACGACTGGTATACATATCATACAAATCTATAATATGGAGTTCTGGTCAGCGGTTCAAGCTCATCTGCCACTCCTAGGAAACCCTATAGAGGATCGCTGTATCACAACTGACTCCATGGCACTTAACAACATAAATATATATATACATATACATGCTTAACAATGACCAAATAAAAAAAAAAGAGTAGCTGCTGACACTATTATGTATAACCAATAACCTCATGAGTTTGATTCTTTTGGCTTAGAGTCATACTTTTATTGGGACATCCCATTTAATTGTCAGTGTCTAGGGTCTTGGTGTGGCGCTGTGGGTTAACGCGCCAGACTGCAAAGCCATTTGAACTGCAAGGTCTGTGGTTCAAGCTCACCAGTTGCTCCTTGGAAACCCTGTAAAGGGTTGCTATGGATTGGAACCGACTCAGTGGCACTTAACGGTCTTAAAAATTTGCAAGGTGCAATCCAAGGTACAGTTAGTCTCTATATGCCTGGAGCAACAGAATTAGAAGGAAGGTCAGGAATAGGAGAAAAAGGTGCAACTGCCTCCTTTGCCATGGGACCAGAACTGGATGGTGTCTGGCTACCACTGTGGGACATTTTGATAAAGGTTTCCATAGAATAATCATGATCAAAAGGCAAAAAAAATGAATAGAATTTCACATTCTCATGGACTTCAGACTTCCTGGAGCCATGGTAGGTAGATGAACCCCTGAAACTTTTGCCCTGAGATAATCTTTAAATAAACCTTAAACCAAAAATATCGCCCTAAATCAACCAGACTATAGTTTGGCTTAACTAGCAGTCAGTCTGCCTTGAGCACTGTGCTCTTTAAATATCTATTCAGAAGAGATCTGACAGCAGCAACCCAAGATAGGGACCTTAGGAGGCAGTGAGTTTGTTAATGGGGGAGGACTAATAAATGGGAGAGTTAGAAGGGTTGCACAACTCAAAGAATGCTATCAATGTCACTGAATTGACATTGTAGAAATGTAGAAACTATTGAAATGGTGTATGTTTTGGTGTTTATATTCTCAACAAGAATAAATGAAAGCACTTTTTTTAAATTGCAAATGATGATGCATCAGTCAAAAACAGGGAGCTGTACTGTATGCTTTACAATTAGAAAATGGTCCTGTTAAATAAAATCGAGGGCAATTAGTTCCTACACACTGGACTCTAGCGTTCTGTAACAGGCTAAGGGGGTGGGGATAAATGTGTAAGGGGATTCCCAGGAAAAAACAGACACAATGGAGTTAGTACTAAAACAATGCAGTCTATAACTGATGGTACATGGAAGAGATTGCAATTACTATAATGACACCAAGTGTATGATTTGTTGACTATATGACTGATGACCTTTTCAGTAAACCACTCAATTCACAATAAAAATTTATAAAACATAAAACCCAATAACAACAATCTATTTAGTCTCTACCATGTTGAGTCAAGAGTTATTAGGATTAGGAACAGGTATGATGGTTATGGGCCGTGGGGTCGGTTCTGACTCTTAGCAACCCTGCACAGGGTTTCCAAGGCTGTCAATCTTTATGGGAGCAGAAAGCGTCATCTCTCTCCCTCCCATGGAACAGCTGGTAGTTTCGAACTGCTGACGCTGAGGTTCGCAGCCCAATTCCTAACCACTATACTACCAAAGCTCCTTAGAAACATGTATGGGCACCTTAAATGCTAACAGTAAATAAACAGGTACCAGAAAGAGGCTGTACACTGTGAGGCACCATAATAAACTGCACTAACACTGTGTACTTTTTACCAGAACCAAATCATCCAGTAGGCACAGCGCTCAAGGTCCAAAATACTTTTAGGGGCTCATCAAAGTTTTATTTTATTAAAGCCAGAAGAAAAAGAAAAAACAACAAAAAACTTCTGGGGTCAAATGCCATTTTTATACAAATACTTTAAATACAACTTTAAAAATATTTTTAAATGGAGGCAGTAGCCCACTACTACCTACAGTGTCTGTTGTTGTTAAGTGCTGTCAAGTTAATTCCGACCGACCCATAGCAGCCCTCTATAGGGTTCCCAAGGCACAGTTGGTGAGCTTGAACCGCCAACCGTGCAGTACAAACAGCTTTGCAGTCTGGCACATTAACCCACAGCACCACACCAGGACTCCTCCTAAAGTGCCTAGAGCCCATCAAAATCATAATGCAGTTCTGCTTTTTACTTGTTTGTACAGTTTACTCACAAGGAATTCTGGTCATGTAGTGGATTACGAGTTGGGCTAACCACACAATCAACAATTCAAAACTACCAGTTGCTCCACTGGAGAAAGATGAAGCAATGTCTCAAGGAATATTATCTATAAATTATCAGGAGCATCTCCTCCTTTTCTAAGCTACTATCCCTATTATAGAGTCCTGGTGTGATGCCATAGGATGAGCACTGGACTGGTAAACTGCAAGGCCAGCAGTTCAAACCCACCAACTGCTGTTTAGAAACCCTATATAGGGTGGCTGAGTCAGAACTGATTCGATGGCACTTAACAACAATAACATTCCTATTATGTTATTTAATGGTGGTTAAAAACTGGTACAGCACTGTAGGATAAACACTGGACTGCTACCTGAAAGATAAGCAGTTCAAACTCACCTGCTCTTTGGGAACCCACCAGCCCCTCATTAGAAACCCTATACAGGATCACTATGAACCAAAATCGAGTTGATGGCATTAACAGCAGTCTGATATGGAGTTCTGGTGTGGCACTGTAGGATAAGCACTGGACTGCTAACCACAAGGTCAGTGGTTCAAACCCACTAGCAACTCCTCAGAAACTCCTCAGTAGAAGCTGGAACCAACTCTATGGTACAACAATCCCTTTTATAGAACAGAAAATATTGAAACACAATTCAGCAGGAAAAAGAGCGAAATACAAAACACTGAATCAAGCTCATGTCATGAGATAAAATAATTATTCCACAGTCCATAACAGTTTCCACATACTACCAGTCTCATGCAGTGGCTCATACAAAGATTAACCTACTAGTGAAAGAGTAAAACACACACATTGATGGTCACGCATTAAGAAGTTCAGTCAAAAGTAGACACTTAACATGAGGCTTTAATTTTAATGTAATACCATTTAGTAATGTGACAAAATGGACTAAAAAGTACTTTGTGGATAAGTTGATGAGCATATTTGATAGACAGTGGCCATTTTACAATAATGGGAACAAATAGCTAGCATGTAAAATCTTAAGTGCCTTTTTAAAAAGTTGAAAACTGTCTGCTCATTCATTAATATGCCAGACATCAGGAGGCTGTATCTTGAACCAAACAGTGAAGATGAGAACCAAGAAAAAGCATTTTGTTATTTTGGGCTTTTGGGGATTGAGAAAAGAGGCAATGAACATATACTAATAACTTAACCTGTCATCCCATAGCTCAGCTGGAAGTAACTGTGAGGTGTAACTTCAATGGCACAGTGAAGATGGCAGACTACTAGAAATGCATTGATCCCACACATTTGCTTCAAGGAGAAACCTGCAGACATATTTTCAGGTCTTGCTAAGTAACTGTTTATTTGCACTTAGTACATTTGGGAAAGTCTGCTACATAGCTAAGGTCACCGTGACCACAGAACAATAGTTGGGAAAAAAAAAGCAGTAAACAGCAAGAAAAATGCATCCACCCTTAAAAGTGAACCAGTAAAAAAAGGTTAAACGTAAACAAACAGATACAGCATTCATCTTTTATGAATGTCCTTTCCCCCCAATATAAACACTGTGGAGTGTTTATATATTCAGTGCGAGAAATAAGTATATCATTGGTACATTTGAAATGCCTCTGATGAAAGAAAAAAGCGAAAGTAACATCTAATTTCTCAATACATTTCAGTGTGGTGTAATAATATTATTACACTATACTAATGGGGGAAAGGGTCTGATAGCACCCATCTGCATTCCACATGAAAAAAAACCTAAGATCGCTTGGGAAAAAAATTCTACAAGCCACATACTTAAAAAAATCTGAACAGAATTGCTTTATTGTGTAATTTAAGACACAACTGTTACATAACTGCAAACAAAGACATGAAAGATTTAGCAGCTACAAAAATCAAGTAACTCATGCTATATGTTCACTCCTCCCATGAATACTTTTAGCCTTCCTTCAATTACAATCAATTCTCAATTGGCTTGCCTCTGGATTAGACTTCTAAAGTCTTTTACAAAGACTGAAAGAAACGGGTAAAAATTTAAGATTGTAACCTATCCTGTACTATGACCCTGGAAAGGTGTGGGTCTTCTTAAAAAGGAAAAAGAAACAATACACATAATCACAATAAAGCTTAACACTATGCAGAGCTTATAATCATTTTCAGCAACGGACAGACGGCAAGCTGTGCTGTGAAGAAAATGCATAGCAGAGGAGAAAGCTGGGAATTTGGGGCAGTAGGTAAGGAAACAGTGTTGACACAGTGAAAAGAGGTGATTAAAACATATTTGCATCTACTCCAGAGCTCACACGCCCTGCTTGCATTCCTCAAAAAGCCACCTGTTGGAGAAGGCCAGAGATCCCTGTATGTGAAGTATGAATGCCCCAGTACCACATTAAGCCACCTCCCTCCACTAACTGCAAATTTGTCTGGGAACTGAGTAGTTCCAATGACAACAGAACACACGCACTTTATTAATGGTTAACCAACACATTACATGAAAGTTAGGGTGTTGGGTTTTTTTTTCCTTTTTTATGTCTTTTTTTAAATACAACTTAAACGCAACCTTTATAGAAACATGAGCTTCCATCCAATCCTTCTCAGTTTCCATAGGAAGAACTGAGTAATGAATGGAAGGTAGCAAAACAAGATAATAACCACAAAGGACTGTACTTTAAACATGATTCTTAATTTTAAGAGACAGAGACACTTGAATATTTTGTAATACCAAACTTAAAAAAACAGCAATTTGTCCCCTAGCATTTCTAAATGTTGGTGTTATTTCTGCATGGACAGATTAATATATTAAATTAAGCCAAGATTTTAAAGGCTGACAAAGTTCTATCACTCTATTTTAAAAATCAAAGATGTTTAGAAACAAAAAATACAAGTTAGTTGCTTCATGTTATACTTCACAACCATTATGTTAAATGCTTGCTTTCTAAAAAACAGGGTCTCTTATGTCACAACTGCATTATTTACTGCTAGATGTTCAAAGTTACATGGGCTAGTGTTCAACTGGAACCTGTTGATGTTGTTGACGTCTTGAGGTTCTCTGAGTTTCAACCTAAGGTGTGCCAGGCCCTCTCCTAGGACGGACCACGCTTGCAGGGGAAGGGGAGGGAGAGGAAATCACAGATAAAGTTCTTAAGATTGTTTTACTCTCTTCGAGGCTTTCTGTTTCTTGGTGATCTGTTCAAAATTTCATCCTCCTGTTGGTTGAGAAGACAAAAAAATTATTGTTAGCTAACTTTTGAAATAAAAATGTATTTTAAATCCACTGGAAGAACTGGAGAGAAGAAAAATTATAAGAAATGTACCAAAAAAAGTCAGGTCTCATGCTATATGTCACTTCTCCCATGAACACTGGTGGGATTATATAACGGGCTTTCAAAAAGTTTGTGGAAAATGGAATTAAAAGGTAATGGTTATTTTGAAAGATTGGGAATTTAATGAGCAGAGAGAGCAAATGGACCTCTTTCTAGGGAGGGCTGATCTTTAAAGTTGGAAATTGATTCATGAAAATGTTCTACTTTTAGTACAAAGTAAAGGCTGAGTAGGAAATTCATTTTATGTTGGCTGGACGGCATAACTCAAGATGAGTTGGCATGAGCACACTTAGATCCCTTTCCCTCCACGAAGAACTCTTGGTGGTCTGCAAAGTGGGCATGAGTATTGGACATCACCTGTTAGCTTCGATAGGGCAATAAAGAGTTTATTTGGATAAGATGTCCCTTATAACACCCAAATCACGTGGGAAATGGCATAAATTATCAGATAATCATAGCTGCAATAACCTGGTCCAACATGGCAGGCATTTACTTATGATGTTTTAATTACCATTGTTGTTAAGTGACGTTGAGTCGGTTTCGACCCATAGCGACCCTGTATAGGGTTTCTGAGGAGTGGCTGGTGAGCTTGAACCACCAACCTTGCAGTTCAAATGAATGACAGACTTTTGATGAGAAATTTAATTTGGGGGGATGGGTGGGAAGAGCTTGACAGTGGTGACAAATAGTGGTTAAAAAACCAGGTACCATGTTCATCAATGCTTATACTCTGTGTTTACCAACTTGTCTATTTTTCAATACATGTAGATCACAGTCATTGTAATTTCTTACTTAGATGTTGTAAACATTATCCCTCAAGGATTTTTCATGCTGTTGTCAGGCTTGCATTTCAGAACTGTTTTGTTTTTTTTAGTATCATCAAAGTGATGATTTATAATATTAGACAAAATGATGTCCTTTTCCTACTAGATTCATATCTGGTGCCGGTTGCATCTCTGAAAAAAGCAAAATCTGAAAGACTCAGACAAACATGGCAACTAGCCATCCTCATAACACATTCTAATTTCTATTGGAATTTCCACAGAAATTATTACAAACATTAAAGGCATGTAGACTGAAGCTTTGATATATATATATATATATTTTTTTTTTTTTTTTCACTCTTCAAATTATGGTAAATTTCAACGTAATATTCAAAACACTTTTGTACTACTTGCAAAATACACTAAATTATAATGCAAACATTTAGAAAAGTATTGACTTGAGGGGCTGAATTCCTTAAAAGTTTATTTTTTAACCTAAATCACAACTACTTTACTCAACTGACTAGTTTTTTTTTTTTAAAATATAGCAAATGGAATATTTGTGTTGTAACGCTATCAGAATCAATCCTTTGTTCTAAAATAATGAGTTACTGTGATTTTATGTTTCCTGTATTTTCTGTACTACACCAACAAAACCAAATCCATTGCCGTTGAATTGATTCCAACTCACAGCAACCCTATAGGACACAGCAGAGCTGCCTCTAGGTTTTCCAAATTTGTAAACCTTGAAGGAAGCATAGTGCCACAGCTTTCTCCCAAGGAGTGGCTGGTGGGTTTGAGCTGCTGACCTTTTCGTTAACAGATGTATATTTTAACCACTGTGCCACCAAGACTCCTTCCTTACTATAAATCATTAAAAATTAGAAACCTTAAGTCTATATAGAAATAAAATAAAATAGTCAAATCTAGTGACTATATATGGCGCTGCAGGATAAGCACTGGACTGCTAACCATGACTGCTAACCTTGGAAACCGTTTACAGGGTAGCTATGAGTCATCAGAACCAACTCAATGGTATTTAACAACAACAGTACCTGAGATAGGGTTTCAGATACATAGAACAAGTTACGTTGAAGTTAACGCTTCTTTGTCAGTTTTGGACAATAAGCAAAAGTGTTAACATTTGAGGATTTAGGTTCTCTACTGAGGTCATTGAAACGTGGAAGAAATTCAGCCAGAGAATCTATATTAGTGAATAAATGTGTGTGAAGGGAAGATGGACTAGTTGACCAGGAATTTTTGTCACCTTGTATGTTTTGGGATTATTTTCCAAGCCAAGTTTTCTTTTTTTAAAATGTGTTTTGAAGTATATGGACATTTATTATAATGTAAACTATTATAAAGCTGTCTTTGTGACTTGTAGGTAGATGAATTTTGTTTCCATTGAGTACATATGATGGCAATTCATTTGACCACTCAAACAGCATCAGTAACCATTAAATGAAATAGATGAAGACCTCATTCACAGATATTAATTTTGAAAATTTAACATGTATTTTTTTAACTTTTTTAAGCATTTAATATATGCTTATCTACTAAACAATGTAAGGTCCCCACATAACTCTCGTGGATTCAGAATTTGTTAAAAATGTTATATGCACAATGATACATCTCGCTGAGCCATTTTCTCAAAATATGGGGAGAGAGGTAAATAAAATCCTAATTAAGAGCATCAGACTTTTCTAATGAAACAGAAAGCCAAGGGGGAAAAAAAAAACACTATTAGAAATAAATTTATGAAATCTTTGCAGAATTGCCCAAATTTAAAGTGAGTGAGAATTTCTTCAGCCATCTAAAAGAATTTTGTTCTTCCTACTCACAACCAGTTGTATACCAAAAATACTTGATACTGTTTTTCTTCATGTGTGTGAATCACGGATTATGTGTTGTATTAAACACTAAAGAATAAATTCACTCCATTAAAAAAAAAAAAAAAAAGAAAAAAGACTATGGAATCAGAGACATATGAACACATCAAAAAATAAAAAAAAAAAAAAAGATAATGGAAATTTTCTATAACTTGTTGAAGCCCCCTAATATATATCTGGAGTCCTGGTGTGGTGCTGTGGGTTAATGTGCCAGACTGCCAAGCCATTTGAACTACAAGGTTGGCAGTTCAAGCTCACCAGCTGCTCCTCGGAAACCCTATACAGGGTCCCTATGGGTCAGAATAGACTCGATGGCACTTCACAACAACAATAATATATACAGTCTAATTTAGTTTAGTCTATTTTATTTAAAAAGAAAAAAAAAAACAAAAAACAACACACACACACACACACATAATTCATCTAATCCATAAATACTTTTTAGAGGATCAGACACTGCTTTCACATTACCTTGCTGGATCCACAAAAATCTCTTGGCCTTTAGGCATATTAATTCCCATTTTAAAGATGAGAAATCTGGGACTCATGAAAACCAGATTATCCAGAGTCCCATAGAACACCTAAGATGACAAGTCTGGCACTCTTTCTATTCCACCAAAGCTACTTTTTCAGTTTAGTTTAGGGGATAGAAAAAGTATTCAAGAACTTTTAAGAACTCTGCATTTAGTTGAGACAGAACATATCCAATGAAAATGTTAACAAGAATACAAACTTCATTGAATTTTATCAGTAGAAGAGAAGTTATGACAGTTGGAAATAGAATTGGTAGCGTTTTACCAGAAGGACCAGTCTGAAACACACAGAGATGCTGGACCTCTGGAAGCAAAGGTGTAGACTTGCTAACATTAGTAATGGTTTGGAGAACACGCAGCTTGAATATAAAGAGAGACGATACTAAAGAAGGGGACAGGTACCCCTCACACCAAGCTAAGTTTGAACATGAACCCATCAGCAACTTCCCTTATTCAATATAAGAACCCTCTCACCCAATAAACAATCCATCAAAAAATCTAGATCCAGAAACCTAACTAGCTCCCTCCCTCCACAACCATCACCCTGCTCAGAGCCACTGTATCTTGCCTGGATCATTATAGGGCCTCCTAACTGGTCTCCCTAAGTCTACCTGATCTAAAGAACACACAGCTGTCAGAATAACTGCATTATGTCACTACTCTCCCAAAAGCCTGCAATGGGTACCCGTTTCACAAGAAAAAGTCAAGTCCAAAAATGGTCTATGAGGCCCCACCTCATCTGGAAATTCTCCTCCCACCCCCACTCTATTGGCCATAATGGCCCTCTGGACTAATCTGAGTCTTTGTACTGGCTGTTTTCCCTGTCTGGAACACTCTACTCACTGATAACCTCATGACAAGTACTTTCTCTCCTTTCAAGTTTTTGCTCAAACGTCATCTTTCTAATGAGGGCTATATCCATCCCACTCCCAGCACTTCTAATACCTTTTCCTGTCCTTTTTTTTAATCCCCCTGCAATCACAGTCTAACATACTACTAGCTCTTTCACTTCCTTAAAATATTAACTGCTTATTATCTGTTTCTCCAACAAGAATTTAAACTCTCCAAAGTCAAGGATTTGTTTGTCTCCTTCCCACATGAATGCCAGGCCCCTAGAAAAATGCTCAGCACAGGCATTCAATAGGTATTTGTTAAATGAATCAATCTAGAAGCAACATGGATAAAAGACTTCAGAACAAAGTGACCAGTACAAAGAAAAAGGAAGAGGAGATGGGTCAGACTGTCTAATAACAACCTCAAGTCCCCACAGTAGAAAGTACTTTATTGACTTTCCACTTAAAATCTTGTTTATTCCAGAAAACCATTTTCAGCATAAAAAGCTACTTTGAGATTTACATTAGCTTGAAGTTATCATCAACTAAAATGTTGGCCTAGATCTCTGAAGATCCTAACTTTTATATAATTGATTCTAATAGAATTTTTATTACCATAGCCATTGTAAATTACCTTATGAAAATCTACCCTCTACTTTGAATTTCTCTTCACTTAGTTGCTTGAAATATATAATTTATTCCCCGCTTTTACCTCTGCTTTAGGTTTTCTATCTTCTTCCTCTTGACTGGCAGTGCCACCATCGTCTTCAGCATCACTTTTTTGTTTCTCTTCTAAAATATAAGTTAAATAACTGAATAAAAATCTAAAACATAGGGATTTGGGGACGGGGTAGTTACATAATTAGCATTAAAACACACCTCAAGAGTCTAAAACAATCTTTTAATGTAACTTGCTTTTGAAGTTCTAAAACATCTTAGAGTCATGGCTTAAAACAGATTATGAGGGGCTGACTCCTTACCAAGTTTTTCTTCACCTTCTTCCTCCTCATCTCCCTTGTCCTTTTCTTCTTCCTTCTCTTCCTCCTCCTTCACATCTGGTTGAGGAGCATCAGTTTTTTTGTAATCCACAGCACTGGACTGTTTCTGAAACATTCCAAAGTGTAATAATTTTGTTCACATTTTGTATGCTATTTATAACTACTTTACACCTATGGACGGCACTTAACAACAACACCACCACCACCTATGGAAAAGGTCTGTACCAGCTACACACTGGGAGAAATGTATAGAAATGAAAAATATATCATTCCTACCCTGAAGGACCTTTCCCTTCTGGTGAGTCAGGGGTGGGGTAGTGGAGGTTCTTCAAGGAAGGAAGAACAATAAAAGCCAAGAAGTCTGGCAGGGAGTCTAGGTCTAAGTAGTCAGGGGAACTACACACAGGCAGACAAGTAGGTTAAGTCAGCAAAAGAGCTTTGACTCTATAATAACGTGTGCCCAATGTAAAGTGGAACATAATCTTTATTTAGAAAGCATAAAGCTTCCACAAAACTGCCATTGGGCTGAAACTAACAATAAAGCTGAGGTAATTCCATCACATGTATTTTGGGGAAAGGAGTCCTGGTATTAACACAGTAGGATAAGCACTAGACTGCTAATGCCAAGTCAGTGGTTCAAACTCAGCAACTGCTCCTCAGAAAGCCTACACAGGGTCACGAAGAGTCGGAACCAACTCCACAGCATTTCACAGCAACAAGGATAGCAGAGAATAAAAAGCAAAAGATCAAACTGCAAAAGCAGAAGAACAGAAACAGACACGCCAGGAAATAAAAGCTGGTATGCCCAGAAGGCTGATTTATATCAAAGGTTATTGTTTAGAAAGCTGCTACTAAGTATCAAGAATATTATTATTGTTGTTGTTAAATGCCGTCGAGTCAGTTTTGACCCATAGTAATCCTGCATAGGATTTGCAAGGGGCAGCTGGTGAGCTTGAAGCACAGACCTTGTGATTCAAAGTGAATTTGCCATCCAGTACATTAGCCCAAAGCACAGTTAACAATATAGTACCCTAGGGGCTATAAATTTTTACTTCAATCTGAGTATAATAAAATGACCATTGAGAATTAGTTAATCAAAACTTTCAGACTTTTATTTGGCAACACCAATTTTGGCCCAGTCATTACTGAGTTGCTACAGAGAAAACTTAAGGCAATATACATTTTTAACGTCACTAAAATTCTTTCTGAAAGTGATTCTAAAGAAAATGCATACCTTTCCAGAGCAGCAGAAGAGGATAACAAGAAACACGGGTAGAGCTACAGTCAGAATGTAGACCACCCAAAGCCAAGGGCGTTCCTCAGCTGCCTCGATCATCTGCCCCACAACACCTGGCTGAAAAATAAGACAGGACTGATAGCAAGTTCTGGCCTTTAACACCAAATACAAGCAGTAGTATCCCACTGTTCACCTACCACATAACACTACTCAAGCTCCTCCTTTTTCAAAGGGTTCAAGCCAAGATGCTTATATTAAGTACAAAGGGAATTAGAGAAAAGCCTCAGCTGTCATGCGCTCCTTATCAAGGTGACTTCACTTTTATAAGTGTGAAAGCTAGTTTCTTAATCACCTGCAAAAGGCTCCCTTAACCTCAGGAACCAGTGAATGAAGAATTTCTTGATCTCAATGTCTCTGGCTCTCCAATTCAATTCCCAGCTCTGCCACATGACCAATTGTTTGAAAATTCCATATACTGGGTAAACCAAGATTCAACATTTAGGAGTGCATCCAAACATACCCCACATATAATACAAATAGAGAATCTAAAGTCACTATATTAGATAAGTGAAATCAAGTCCAAAGACCCAAAATTTTGTCTTTACCAGGTAACTTAATATCAAACTTTTTATACCAACACTCCCAAATAAAAGATAACTATGCACACAAATTATCAACAAACTACCAGCAATAACAGACATAAAAGCACAAGAAACAAACAAACACAAACCTCAGCAGCCCCATCAGCAGCTTTCTTCAGGCCCCATCCATCATTGGCCCAATCATCAACTATTCTTCGATCAGCACAAATGATAAAGTTGTCGAAAAAAATGTCAGAGGTCATGGACCATAGCTCCAAACCAATAGCATTAAAAGGTGTCATTTTAAAAGGTTCCAGATCTTCAAAGAAATCAGGATTTGGTATTTTCCTGGGTTTCCAGATTCCCTATAAAAATTTTTACGTTATTTCAGATCATCAGCAACAAAAATTTTGGTGAACCTTCTATACAATGATTTGGGCATATGACCAATGGAGATAAAGTGCCACCTTCATGAAATTCAAATAAGCAACAAGAACATAAAAAATGCTAGTATGCTATTACATGCCAGGCACTGTACTCAATGTTTTATGCACACTACTGCTCAGATTTCTAGACTCCAACTACTTTCTATTTATAGCACCATCTACTATACCCTTGGTCCAAACCACCACCTCACTCTTCCTGGACCATTCCAGTAGTCTTCACTCTTAGCAATTGATGATGGAGTGGGAGCATAAGTAAGTATAGGCTTTTTCAGTGGTGATTTAAAATGGCCATGATCTCAAATCAGCAATTTCACAAGAGAAACACTGAACCCATATACCTCGTTAAGTATAAGGATGATTACTGCAACACTGACTCTAAGTCAAAACAACAATCCACCTAAGAGGTCATCAAAAAGATAATTTTTAAATTGGTCTTACTGCTTGTACAATTAATATAATACTCTGTGTACATATACTGAAACATACATTTTATAATTTAAGTTTGACAAAATGGAAAACAATGATTATATAGCTTTAATGGGGTAGAAACAGATAAGTCAAGGGTCTGAATGGTTCACCCCACATCATCTTTAAGATTTAAAACAACACTACTTGTATTCATATTGTTTCATTTGAGCCTCGGTCTGTGTTTTTACATCTGAAACAAACCAATAAGCTGGTGAGCCATCATTGAGGCTCCAGGTCACATCACAATCATTTCTCCATCACATCATATGTACTGTCAATCTTGAAATTTGGAGCTTGTGGCTAAAGCACTCCCCCCCGGCCCAATATCATAGTGCCCCAAATCACAAGTTTCTCATTTTTCTGTATTTTTTGAATTTACATTACATGTCAACAATGCTAAGTTTAATCTTTGAGCAATGAAGCCTTTAAAAGCTAGCTCTCTCTCAATTTAGGAAGTTTATGATTTTATTTACCATTCAATAGTTTGGATTTGGTAACTTCACTCCAGACAAAACTTTTAGCTGACAAACAGATCAACAAAAGCAAATCAACCATCATGAGGCACAAACCTGGTAGTTAGGATTGTCAATCATGGGAGGCTTCCATTTACCCTTATAATTGGGGTTGTCGATCATAGGTCGTTGCCAGACACCACACCCAGGGGCTGACTCACATTTAGGGTTAGCAATCTGAGGAGCCTCCCATTCTCCATCCATATCTTCATCCCTGTTTAGGTGTAAGTAACATGTCACAAATAGTTTCTGTGGCAAGAAAAAGTCCCAGCGCTCCCAAAATACTAACAATGCTTTTAGTGAAAACACTGTATACATCAAGTCTTCTCTTGCTTTTGTATTTCCATTAACAATGTTTTCTGAGGAGAATCATATTTTAAAAAGAAAATGTTATTTAAATGTGTCAAGCTCTACACTTAAATCTGGGCATGTGGCTATATTTGGGCTTTCCTTCAATAAAAAATAGGTAATTATGAAAGCACTTACCAATCCTCTGGTTTCTCTGCGTCTGGGTCAGGTACATATTCTGGCTCATTGTCTAACCAGCCTTCAGGTTTTGTAGCCTCCTCATCAGGAATCTTAGCAGGGGCATCTTCATCCCTTAAATACAAAAGAAAAAGCCAAGAATGGCACCACTAGCCAAGCAATTACGGTGTAGACACTGTGAATCTTAAATAGGGAAACTTTATGAGGTGATAAAATTCAAGTACAAACAGCATAGAGGGAAAAACATCAATGAGAATTTAATTGCTAAGCCTAAAAGGATTCATCATTAAAAAGAGCATTTCAAGATGTTTAAATATAATGTCATCTGTGATAAGATAATACTTATAAAACCTAAAAGGAAGACAAGTCGATACCACTATTATTCAAATTGACCAACCACTATAGCCAGTGATGATGAAATTAAAGAGTTCTACCCGTGGTATTTTCAATAACCTCATATGCATGTGAAAGCTGGACAGTGAATAAGGAAGACCATAGAAAAATTGATGCCTTGAGTTATGGTTTTGGAGGAGAATACTGAAAGTGCCATGGGCTGCCAAAAGAACCAACAGATCCATTTTGGAAGAAGTGCAGCTGGACTGATCCTTAGAGGCCAAGATGGCAAACTCTGTCTCTCATACTTCGGATATATTGTCAGGAGGGACCAGCTGCTGGAGAATGATATCATGTTTGGTAAGGTGGAGGGTCAGAGAAAAAGAGGAAGACCTTAGTGAGATAGACTGGCCAAGTGGCAGCATCGATGGACTCAAGCGTGGCAACAGTAGTGAGGTTGGCCCAGGATTAGACAGTGTTTCTTTCTGCTGTGCATAAAGTCACTATAAGTCGATACCAACTCGATGTCACCTAACAACAACAACAACCAACTTATTCAGCCTAAAATTGATCCAACATAAAATCAAGATGCATTGATCATTACTGGTGATTGAAATAAGAAAGTTGGAAACAAAAAGGGAGGAGCAGCTGCTGGAAAATATGGCCTTGGAGATAGAATTGAAGCTGGAGATGACATGGTAGAATTTTGCAAGTCCAATGACATTCATTGCAACAACCTTTTTTCAACAAGATAAATGACAACTATATACCCAGCCCTTACCATATAAAACATATAGGAATCAAACTGATTACATCTGTGGGTGGGAAGAGATGATGGAGAAATTCAACATCATCAGCCAAAACAAGGCCAAATATCAACTGAAGAACAGACTATCAATTGCTCATATATGGCAAGTTCAGGCTAAACATGATGAAAATAAGAACCACTCCAAAAGAGCCAAAATATGACCTTGAATATATTCCACCTAAGATGTACAGATTATCTCAAGATGAGATTTAATGCATTAGACAGTAATGACTGAAGACCAGAAAAACATTATACATGAAGAAAGCAGGTCTTTGAAAAAGACAGGAAAGAAGGAAACAAGCAAAATGGATGTCAGAAGAGACTGAAACTTGCTCTTCAATGTAGAGAAGGTAGAACTACTGGATGAAATGATGACATAAAAGAACTAAACAGAAATTTTCAAAGAAAGAGTCAAGTATTATAATGAAATGTACAAAGACCTAGAGTTAGAAAAAATCAGAAGGAAGAACACACTCAGGATTTCTCAAGCTGAAAGAACTGAAAAAATTCAAACCTCAAGTTATAATATTGAAGGATTCTATGGGCAAAATATTGAATGATGCAGACAGCATCAAAAGAAAATGGAGAAAATATGGAAAAGCCAGAACAAGGGGCATGGAGAGGCCAAAAATGAAATCAAATCCTGAGGTACAGCATCACCACCAACAGTGGCACCGAGAAATCCCTCAGGCAGCTTTGAAGGCAAGAAACTGAAAGAAGATATTAAACTCATACTCATATTAGGCTACAGATTTTTTTTTTCCTTCTCTTCCTTCTCTCCCTTTATGGCGATTATAGACTACAGTATTCCGTCTAGTTTTTTGTTGTTGTTCTTGTTGTTTTATGCTCCCCCTTCTACCTTTGGGGGACTCTTTCTCTCCCTATATTACCCAAGAAGAGACAGCAACTGCTGCCATACAATCAAGCTACAATCACACTCTATAAAACACCAAAATCCAGGCAAGAACAAATACCAACTGCCATATACCAGGGAGGCAGACAACACCTGTGAAAGTTACTTTGAGTTAAGAAAACAAGAAGTGTGAAAAGGGAAGCTCACATCCTGATCACATTTACCTGGAAGCAATCAAAAACCATAAAAAATACCAAAACACATATTCAATTAAGTATTAAGGCCACAGACAAACACTAAACATGTCCAAGAAGCAAAAGCAGATGACCATATCAGTACATGTCCAGAAATAAGATAAAATATTTGAGGCAAATGACCTAGAGTTAGACCTGGACTACATTCTGGAAGGAAGAAAGGTCTTGGAAATGCCTGAGAAGGAATTCAGAAAAATAATTATAAAATGTTTCAAAACACTACAATGGATTTGAGAAAAAAAAAGGAGGAAGTCAGGAAAGCACTACAGGAACAATCAAATAAGATAGAAACAGCACTGGAAACGATTGAAACCCTACAGAAAGAGGTAAAAATGATCAATAATAGAATATAAAAAATAGACAATACACTGAAAGTGCAAAGGAGTAGAATAGAAGAGATGGAAGGCTGGAAGACAGTGAGCTGGAAGACAAATCTCTCAAAACCACTAAGATAGAAGAGCAAACACAAAAAAGGATAAAAAATTCTGAAGAAGGTCTAAAATTCATGTTGGACAACATGAAGAGTAATAACTTAAGAATTACTGGCATTCCAGAACAAGAAAAATCACACAAATCCACAGAGGAAATAGTTGAAGAATGTTGGAAGAAAATTTCTCTAACATCCTGAAAAGTGAAAAGATAAACATTCACGAAGCTCAATGAACCCCAGGAAGGATAGACCCCAAGAGAAAATTATTGAGATATATCATAATTAAACTCTCCAAAATCAAAGATAAGGAGACACTCCTGAAAGCAGCTGAGGAAAACATAAGTGTTACATACAAAGGCAAGCAAGTGAGATTAAGCTTGGATCTCTCAGAAGAAACCATGCAAGCAAGAAGACAATGGGGAGACCTATATAAAACCCTGAAAGAAAATAACTGCCAATCAAGAATCCTTTATCCAGCAAAGCTATCTATCAAATACAAAGGTGTAATCAAAACATTCCAGGATAAACAGAAACTAAGGAATTTTGCCAAAGCCAACCCTGCGCTACAAAACATCCTAAAGGGAGTTCTATGGACCAAGAACCAACAAGAACAGACAACAACCAGAGATTGACATAAACAGCAGCACCTCCCTGAACTAAATCAACAGATGGAAGAGTGGAGAACAGAACGAAACTATAAGAACAAACTCAAGAGAATCTGGGAGGTCAGTCTATGATCAAAACAATTACAATGTAAAAGAAGGTAAACAAGTAAGAACAGAGATCCATATCGTGAGAAGGTCAGGTAGATTACAGGATAAAACAGACTGAACTAGATGAAGGGAAGAGTTAATGGACTACAAGGTAACCTCAAAGAAAATTAACACTTCACAACATACCAAGAAAATGGAAAATTTTAAACTATAAAGAAACTCACAAGAATGAACACAAAAAGCATGAACTCAACAAAGGAAAACACACAGAACAAAGAAAGCAGGAACACCACAATAAAACAAACATAATGGCAGCAATTAATCCATACCTATCGATAATTACACTGAAGGTAAATGGATAAAATGCACCAGTTAAGAGACGGAAGGTGGCAGAATGGATAAGAAAACAAGATCCTTCAATATGCTGTCTGCAAGAGACACATCTCACACACAGAAACAAAAATAGATTAAAAGTCAAAAGATGGAAAAAAATATACCAAACTAATTGCAATAAAAAATGAACAGGGGTGGCAGCACTAATTTCTGATAAAACAAACTTTAAGGCAAAAAACAGCTTAATAGATAAAGATGGACATTATCTCATGATTAAAGGGACAACTGAACAAGATGACATAACCATAATAAATAGCTATGCTCCCAATGAAAGAGTTCCAAAATATATAAAGCAAACTCTAATAGATTTGAAGAAATAGACGAATCTACAATAATAGTGGATGATCTTAATACACCACTTTCAAAAATGGATAGAACAACCAGAAAGAAACTTGACAAAGACACAGAAGAACTAAACAACACAATCAGCCAACTGGGCCTCATAGATGTGTAGAGTATTCAACCCAACAACTGCACAATACACATTCTTTTCCAGTGCACATGGAACATTCTCCAGAACAGACGATGTCTTAGGTCACAAAACAAATCTCCAAAAACTTACAAATATCAAAATACTACAAACCATCTTCTCAGACCTCTTTAAAGTGTTCAAGAGCAAAAATGTCACTTTGAGGACCAATGAGTACCTGACCCAAACTATGGTATTTTCAATCACCTCATATGCATGTAAAAGTTGTACAATGGATAAGAAAGATCAGAGAAACAATGATGCATTTGAATATTAAAATTACCATGGACTTGCAGAACAAACAAATCTCTATCTAGGAAGGCATAAGTCCAGAATGCTCCTAAAAAGTGAAAATGGCATTTTGGAAGTTAGTCAGTACCTAGAGAACAATATTATGCTTGGTAAAAGTGAAAGGTCAGTGAAAGAGAGAATGACCTTGAAGAAGATGGTCTGATACAGTGGCAGCAACAATGGACTCTAATGTAACAACTATTGTGAGGATGGCGCAGTTTTTCTGATGTGCATAGGATCACTATGAGTCATAACCAACTTGACGACACTTAAAAACAGTTCTACTACTACATGTTGCCACATACAGGAATATAAGCAACTGGATTTCATTTATCATTACCTAAGTATACCCAACATAAAAGGCTATACACTGAATTCCTCCAGACAGGTCAAGTTCGTTCCTACTCCTCTACTTCTGCACACAATGTCCTTCTCCACACAGAAAAATCATTTCCCAACTTAACCACCTAACTCTGAAACTTTTACCTTATCTCCATGTTTCAAATCTGATGTGTTCTCCAAGAAACCATTCCTAGGTTTCTCTAATCATACAGTAACACCTGCTAACAGACCCCATATCATTTTGCTTCTTACTTGGCAGTCTCATAATTAGACTGGGTGTTCTGTGTAGGCAAACTGAATCTTTTTAGTTTCTCTATCACAGCCCAAAACACAGCGGATATTTCTAAGTGTTATTTAGAAATAATATGAAAAAAATTATTACTTTTATAATTTAAAGGTAATTTCAGCATTTCATTGTTTATAAGAAGTCCTGGTAGCACAACAGTTAAGCATTTGGTCAAACAAGAAAGACCTGGCAATCTCCTTCTGTAAACATTAAGAGCTGTCAAGTTGGTTTGACTCATAGAGATGCTGTATAGGGTTTCCAAGGAGTGGTTAATGAGTTTGGATTGCTGATCTTGTGGTTCAAACCAGTCTTACAGTCCAGCTATTTATCCTGCAGCAGCCTAGGAAATCTGGTGGTACAGGATTTCTACTCTGTCATACAAGGTCGTTACGAGTCAGAGTTAACTTGATGGCACATAACAAGAAAACACTGATGAAATTCAGATGATCCTTACGACCTCTTTTCAGTTACAGTCATTAAGATACTTTCCAACTACATTTTTTCCTATAGTTCAGACTCTATCTTACATTAACTGAAAATATCAAATCTTACTCAATTAACATTTGGTTATCCAAACCACACAGAATATTTTAAATGTTCCTTAACACTAAAAGGCAGACAGAAGACTCACCAGTCATCTGGCTTCATAGCACCTGGATCTGCTATTTTTGGTCTCTCATCCCAGTCTTCAGGCTTCTGGTCTTCTGGGTCCTCAATTTCACGTGAAGGATTTACAGGAGGAGTCATATCACTCAGCAGATTTCCAGTGTTTACAACAGACTGGTCAACTAATATCTCAAAAGTATTATCTGGATTCAATACTGAAAAACAATATTAAATACAATATAAAAGTTATTTAACCACTCATCCAAAGCTCTCCTAACACAATTTAAAAGATCATGACTTCTTACAGAAGGAACAACCATGCAAACATGTAGTTAAGACTGGATTTAGAGCACTGCCTTAACTGTGCTATAGGACCTTAGCAAGTTAACCCCTTTTTGCTCCTATAACATGAAATTCTAGTTTCTCTATTTTCTAACAACAAATTATAGTTAAGACTTTAAAACCACATTTTCCTTTCTTCACCATGTCAGTGCTGTTACCTTTTATCTTAACCATGCCTTCTCATAAGGCTTTCGGGATCAAGAGATTCCTGGCCAAGAAATAAATGCAGAATCATCCCATTCCCCAATGGATTTGAATGAAAACTGGTAGTAAAATCAGATAAAACCCCAACAGAAGACACTGGAGAGGAGCCACGCTGTGTCTATAAAGAGTCGTACATGTGCTGGCATACATAATGTACCTAGGTTCTAGCACTCAAACATGTTAAGTTAAATTCTATCAAGATCTGATCAACTGAATATGTATTTCAAAACTTCTGGTTTCTTTATTTGTTTTTATGCTTCCACATTAAAAGGCTGGGTAATATGTGTGTGAGACCTTTGGTTGGAAAAAATAAAGGGATTTTTAAAAACCCACAACTTCATAAACACCACCACCAGCAACAAAAAAACCCCAATGCAACTATTGGTCTAACATAAATGGGTTACCCACCAGACATCATGCAACTAAATTTATTATTGCAACGATTCCCTTAGTTCAACTCCAAGAGATGCTTTTTTAAGTCCCGACAAACTAAACTTGTTTCACTATTAATTCAACAAACACTCTTTTTCTTATTTGCAGGCATGGGTCTTCTCCAAATATGCAATCTTTAATTAAATTAAATGGATAGTAAATGCACAATGCACTGAAACACCCAATAGTTGTTCTTACTTAATGTATAAAGATGTGTTTTCTTATCAGTAAAATAGGTCTTCAGATCTGCATCTGGCCTCTTAGCATGTTTTTCTTCATAAACACCTGTTTTGGGGTTTTTATGTCGGAAGATGAAATGTAATTTATAGTCCTCTCCACACTTATCTGGACCAAACATGATCGTATAAGGTGTCTTGTCATGGAACTGATCCTTCAGAGACAAAAATGGATTATTTTAATAATTGAAAGTGCTCAAAGGCAACTTTTACAAAGCTTGTGATATTTTCTCTTACAAAAATTCCAAATAAATTACTGCTGCAGTTAAAGGAAAAGCTAATTACTTTGAGGCTTATTCAGATACAAGCAATTAAGACATTTTTAAATGAGAAACTACTCCATCCTCTATAAAAAAAATTTTTTTAATTGTATGACTGTACCCCTCTGACCTAATCACGATGGCTTGATAATCAGAACTCGACTGTTGTTTTTGTTGTGAAGTGCTGTTGAGTCTATCAGAAAACAATTTTTGATAAAGGACATGAGGATAAATTGCTACAATTTGAAGAATTTGATCTATACTCATGGATAGTAGCGCAAAATACCAATAGAGAGGGAAGGAGTCTTCACATCAAGTATCAATGCTATCCACTCTATACAGCATAGACAGGGACCAGCAACTTAGACACTGGCTACCTAAAATGAAGGAGCAATAAAGGCACAAAGTGACTGGCTTACAAGGTTTCAAGAGGGAGTTTAGTTATAGAGAGGGTGTGGGGGAAGAAAGAGTTCCCACTGAATAGTTTTCATCTTGTCTAGATGGGTCTGGTGAAAAGAGATGGGGATAAGATTCTTATGATTCAACAGTTCAGTAATTGTTATCATGACTAATTGGGACTGTCACAATGGTAAAGTTAGAAGTTTTGTAACAAAAATGGGGGAGTAGTTAATCTTACATTCCAGAAACAGAGGACCCTAGGACAATCAAGGGAGAAGAGCACAAGCAGAATGCAGGACCTTATCCAGAGAAGCAGAGACACCAGAGATGGAGACAGAGATGCGGACACGGAGAGAGGAAGAAGCTAAGGTTTCTAGATTCATGGAAAGAGAGGGACGGAGAGCTGGTGGCCAGGAGGCAGACTTGCAGAATGTGCCCTTTGGTGGTGTAAATTATAATAATATGCCTGAGTGTTTTTATTAAAAAAAAGAGAGAGAGCTAAAATGAATAGAGAGAAATACTGTTAACTGATGGTATATGGTGGGGATTATAGTCATTGCAATGAAACAAAATGTACGACTGATGATCTGCCCTATAAACTTTCACTCAAGTCACAATAAGAAAAACTAAAAAAATTATATGGCTACATTTCATAAAACAAATGTTTATGGCAACTAAAAATTACACTGAACAGTTATAAAATAGAAATAGTTGGTAATAGCATTGAAATTCATGTCTCAATTTAATTTCAAGTAAGTTAGTATTCCTAATCCTCTAAAAATATGTAAGTCTTATAACACTTTGTTTCCTTTTCTCTAAGATTCCTAAAAGATCACTATGGATGACTACATAAAACAAAACAAAAATCCACGTAAGTACTTACAAGATTGAGTTCTGGAGTTTGAGAAAGCAGTTTCACATAGGCACCACCACATTCTATTCCATTTTGGAAATTAACCTCATACCTAATTTCAGAGAGAAAAGCAGAAAATCACATGGCCGTTTCAAATTTGAAATCTCTTGTTAATTTTTTCCCTTCTCTCCCATCTTGATCATATGTTTTATTATAACCTCTTTAAGAAAGGTTTTATCTTACATTACTTTGAATGGCTACCCAATCCTATGAAAAAAAATAAAACCTTAATGCAGACTACTAATAAATACTTTTTGCAAAATACAACAGTTTATTTGGTATCAGTTTGTTTCAAAAGAATTTGGGGGCAGGTTAAAAAAAATTTAGAATTCCAATTAACAATACTGAAAATTACCCATAAATCTTTATAATTTATATAAACCCATGATTTTTTCAAACAAATTATTAGTTTTACAATACAGTGACTCCTAAGATCACTTTTCTGTGAAAGAGCACCGTTTCTAGAAAATTTCTATCGAAAAGATCTTTTCACTTACTGAACAATGAGAGGCTTGGTGTTAAACAAGAAGGGCTTATTCAGTTTAGCAGAGATGGCATGATGTTTGGCCCGAGACATCAATACAAGTCCTTTATCACCTGGAAGCTTTGTCTCCTTCATCTCATCTACCTCCCACTTTCCTACAAGAGGACACAAAAACATTCCACTCCTTAACTATGCCTTTGAAGGTTCTTTTAAAACGAACAAAGAAATCTCTAAGTTGTCTAAATCTATCACACTAACAAAATTTCGTATGTCCTAGTTACCTATGAGAGTTAGGCGATTAGTATTAAAATACCCATATATTTGACCAGGATACCTGGTGTGGAATTGTAGGATCAGCAATGGACTGTGATCCACAAGGTTGGCTGTGAATCCACCAGTTGCTCCTTGGAAACCCTATACAGGGTCACTATGTGTGAAAATTGAGTTGATGGCACTTGACAATATATTTGACCAATATTGTTGTATACTATGGAATAGATTCACACTCATAGTGGCCCTATAAGACAAGAGTAGAGTTGCCCCATTGGATTCCCTAAGCTGAAGGACATCATGGTTGGTAAAATGAAAGGTCAGTAAAAGAGAAATCCATCCAATGAGATGGACTGACACAGTAGCAAAAACAACAGGCTTAAACTAACAATTGTGAGGATAATGAGAACCAAGCAGTGTTTTGTTCTATTATGCATAATGTCACTATGAGTCAGAACCTAACAGTACCTAAGAACAAGGTTTATGGGAATAGTTCAACAGTTCTTCTCTCCTTAAAAACTGGTGGTTTTGAACTTCCAACCTTTTGGCTAAAACATCGTGTGCTTAATCACTGTATCCTCTGGCAAATATTAGGATATGGTTTTCATTAAGATTGTAGTATAATAACATGATCATTGCCCAGAAAAGATCTTCAATTTCCAATAAACACCACAGGTGATAACTTCATAGTTTTATAGCATTAAACAAGCACTAAATAGGTCTGTTGTTAGGTGCCATTGAGTCAGTGCCGACTCATAGTGACCCTACATAGGATTTCCAAGGAGCGCTGGTTGTTCTGAACCACTGACATTTTGATCAGTAGTCCAGTGCTTATCCTACAGTGTCACACCAGGACTTGAAAAACAAACCACAAAAGGACCCTAATAAAACATAAGATACTACATAAAGAGACGACAAAACTGTAGCAAATCATTTTAAGCTAATTTTAAGAGATACCATGACAACAAAACGCCAAACTTCAACCTGCTATTATATCTAAATAAGAATGGAACTCTCACCATCATATTTAGCAATTTCATCATCAGTATCATCTTTTTTGGCTTTAGATAAAATCCACCTGTAATTGAAACCAATACTGAAGTTAAAATTCAAATAAATGATAGCTAACTAGTGATAGCTAACCATTAACGTAAATGCTAATAAAAGCAGAATCTGCATCCTATTTTCAATATTTAAGTGCTATTTCAACTTTTAAATTCATCATACAAGAAGTGATTATACATTATTCTCAATTCACAAACCATTAAGACAAAATAAATTCATCAGATAATCTGAATTTTCTTTTTAAAGACTTAAAAAAGTTAAGAGAGGAAGGAATGGAAGCAAGGACCACAAATTCAAAAAGACTATTTTCCTAAATGGAAACAGACATTGTGGATATATTTTTAAAAAATAGTTAACACATTTCACTATACAAAAAGTTATCTATAGGGTAAGAGGGAGGAGGAAAGGCAGATGCATTGCTTAGAGGACATTAAGCATTTTGTCAATTGTGATAGAAATTTTTCTGAATGGTTAATAGTGATAGTTGAACACCATGAAGGTAATTAATGCTACTGAACTATACATGTGAAGACTATAGAAATAGTAAATGTTACCTATGTTTTACACATTAGGAAAAGCAAAACAAAACAGAAAATAAGCTAATCAAAGAAGAACCTATAAAATTCCATTTCATTTACATGCCATTTGCCTCTGTATTTTTGTCCTCTTAAACACTTACCCTGATGGAGTTCCTCTGTCAAAGGAATCAGCAAAATATACTTCCCCTGTTGGAACTGGAGCTTTGTAGACAACCTGTGTGAAATTAAAAAATGTATTAAGAATTGAGATTTTCAGCAGTATTTCTAGAATTTATTCCAGCTACTTTCAATTATCACAAAACTTTCAGAGCTGGCCCTTGAATTCAATTCAAATGAATTTAACTTTGTTGATGGAGAGCAATACATTATTTTAACAAACTAAAGGACCAAAGTTTATATTCATACTTTTATCACAAGAGATAAAATAGAATAGACTCAATGACTACTTCAAACCTTTGGAGATGGAGGAGTACTAGAATCTGGTTTTGATTTTGAATCTTCTACCTCTTCAATTACATCATCAAGGTCATCCTCAATATCAATCACATCATCATCATGTCCATCATGAGCCTGAATGGTAGTTCCAAGTACCAGTAGTAACATACACAGCAACCACTTCCCTTCCATGGTCTACACATAAAAAGAGTAAATAAAACTGAATTCATTGCCTTTTATTTGCATTTTTATAAAGACTACTTACCTCTCTTTTATTTAAAATTAAGGTCTTCAAACCACAGTACAGAAAGAAAATTTAACGTGAGTCTTGCATTTTAACGACATAGAAAGTGAGCCAAAGATGATAAAAGAACGTTTCCTAAAATCAGTTAATTAAAAAATTCAACTTACAAAGAAAATTTCAAAATAAACCTCAAACAAAACTTGTGCCTATAAAGAGTATTATACTGCCTACACTATACTAGCTTGGGTATTCAAATACAATTTCAAACTAACTCTTTGCAATTGTGAAGTGTTTTATAATGAACAAAAGTCCTTTCACATATTAATTGATAATGCATGTTAGTTGAAACAATACAATCAATGAAAGAACTAAGAGGACACCTTTGGTCTCAGACTTAATGTGAATGCTGCTATTGTTAAAAGATCAAGTGTTGACAGATTTTAAATTACTGTATTAAGATTCAACAACCAAAATTTTATACCAAGGAACTAGCTGCTTTTCCTATATCCTAAGCATTTCCATGTCATCGATGGGTGTGAACTTGTCATGAACCTATTCTCTTCCCAAGAGCCACAGATCTAAAACTTTTATCTCATATAAAAAGGGAGCCACATAGTCAACAAAATGATTTGGTACTTGATGGATTTTTTTACTGTTCCACATAGTCTCCAAGAATCCTCCTCTCTAGTCAATATACATCCTACCTCCTAGATGCACACTTTGGCTTGTTGTTTTAAGCACTGGGTTGCTAAACAGGTCAGTGGTTCCAAGCCTACAGCTGCTCAGTGTAAGATTTTGTCTTGGAAACCCTTTAAAGTCTCTATGAGTAAAATCTGACTCAATGGTAGTGAGTTTGTTTGATGTGTTCTTCCTTACCACACCACATTAAAAAAAAAAAAAAAAAGACACCACAAGTATTATTTTCTTCTTAATTTCCTCCTTAAGACAATCTCTAAGGATTCTGCTTCCCTTTTTCCTCAACTACCACATCCTTTTCCCCACCAGGTTCCTTTCTCCCAGGGTAATTATGATTCCTTTCTGGGCACTGAAACAAGCACATGAGCCTCAAGTTTTAGCTAATGATCACCATGATAAAGATACCAGAAAAAGAATATTAAAGTCAGAAGTTTCAGAATCTTTTAAATAAAGTTCTTATTAGAATTTACTAAATCCAGCCATAACATACAACCATATTCAACAGACAAGGCCTGACTAACACATGTGTTTTTTATATCTATCTTTACCCAACTGTTTGTCAAAACATAAAACATTTTTATCAAAATATGTCACAGTTACTCCTGACCCCCTGGGGGCTAGGACTGAGAGTGAAGTGAGGCCAGCTGGTCTGAAGTGCAGGGATACGTGTGAACTCCCCAACTTGCAGCTGGTACCCATTTGACCTAGCTTGGATGGCTAGGGTTGAGCTAATCAGAACCAGAACAGATGAAGATAAATATGTTTCATGCTGTGAGCAAGTATAAATTTGATGAACTGGACTTTGCTTATGGATGCAGTTGCTCAAAATTCCAACAGGAATGAAAGATACTTCATATGAAAGAACATGCTTGTCTCCTCAGTGTACTGGGTTGATGATGATGTTAAGTGCCGTGGAGCCAGTTCCAACTCCTAGTGACCCTATATAGGGTTTCTAAGTAATGGCTGGTGGGTCTGAACCGCTGACCTTGTGGTTATACACCTGCAGCACCACACCAGGACAGGAATGGGCAATTTAGACATTGTCTATCAAAAAATGGGAAACCGGACGGGAGTGACCCCAAAATGCTGCCAGCACTATGAGCTTCCTCAAAAAACCCCAAGAGTAAGTTGACCCAAGAGAAGTTGCAAAAGCAGGAGGAGGAGTTGTTTAGCACGAGGCCACTCTCGGTGCTCATGCAGTTGGTCAAGAAAACACCCAAGTGTTTATCAACTGTTGCAATAACAAGAAGCTGCAAAGCAGCATGAAAGCCTTCGACAGACATCGCAACATGTTACTGTAAAGCACGAAAGAGATGTGGACCAAAGTTCCCAAGAGTGGTAAAGGTAAAAAGAAGTCCAAGCCTTCTACATCTTCAAGACGTTCCTGCTTAGGGGTTCTGCCATCATGGTCCTGCAGAACCCGCTCATCATTGACAAATAGGGCCCCAGAGTCATCTTCCACCAGTCCGTGAAGACCTGCCCTGTGTTGGGAATAATAAAATCCCTTTGTTTTTTCTACTTACAAAAAAGAGGGAGGACACCCATAAAAGCATGACAACCACTCCTCTGTCAGTTTGGTGTACTGTGGTGGCTTGCATGTTGCTGTCATTCTGGAAGCTATGGTACTGGTATTTTAAATATGAGCAGGGTCACCCATGGTAGACAGGTTTCAGATGAGCTTCTAGACTAAGGCAAATTAGGAAAGAGAGACAGACTACTTCCAATACTTAAGTCATTGAAAACATCATGAATATCAGTGGAACGCTATGAGATAAGCACCAAAATACTGAAACATGATGAAGACTATTAGAATATTGTCAGATACAGTGCCAGAAAACAAGTCCCCCGGTTGGAAGACACTCAAAGTAAGACTGGGAAAGCGCTGCCTCCTCAAAGTAGAGTTAACCATAATGACTCAAATGGAGTTCAACCTTAGGGACCTTCATCTGCTGATGAGGCACAACTCAAAAGGAAAAATAGCTGTAAACATCCATTAATAATCAGAACATGGAACGTACAAAGTATGAGTCTAGGAAAACTGGAAATAGTAAAAAATGAAATGGAATGCACAAACATCTATAACCTAAGTATTAGTGAGCTGAAATGGACTGGTATTAGCTATTTTGAATCTGACAATCACATGGTCTACCAAGTCGAGATTGACAAATTGAAGAGGAATGGTGTTGCATTCATCATCAAAATAAATTATTTCAAGACCGTCTGAAAGCACGATGCTGTGATAGGATAGTATCCTTACAAGGAAGACCAGTTAATATCACTATTATTTGAATTTATACAGCAACTACCAAAGTCAGTGATGATGGAATTGAAGAATTCTATCAACTTCTTCAGTCTGAAATTGACAAAACATGCAAGCAAGATGTACTGACAATGAATGGCGACTGGAAACAAAGAGAAAGGTCTGTTGTTGCTAAGTGCTGTCCAGTTGGTTCCAACCCATAGCGACCCTGTAGAGGGTTTCCGAGTAGCACATCCAAATAAATTTTTTTTTTAAAAACCCAGAGGGACTAGGAGCAAGTACTGTTGAATGATGATGCACAGAGGAGGTTGTAATCATTGCAATGAAACAATGAGGGTAAAACCGATGTTTCCCCATGTGAACTATCACTCGATTCACAATAAAAACCTAAAAAAAGAGTAACAGAACACTGTCCTGAAATAAAGCCACAAATATACATAAAAAAATAAATGGAAGGAATAGAGTCACTTACCAAAAAGAAATAGGTGATGTTTAAAGGAGCTCTGGTAGTGTAGTGGTTATGAATCGGGCTGCAAACCTTAAGGTCAGCAGTTCGAAACTACCAGCGGTTCCGCGGAGAAAGATGAGGCTTTCTGCTCCCGTAAAGATTTACAGCCTCGGAAACCCTGTGCAAGGTCGCTATGAGTCGGAACCGACTCCACGGCACTTAACAACAACAACAACATGGATTAAATTATATCATCCAAAATTATTTATTGTAAATTCTAATTTCAATAACAATGATTTATAATCTCACATTGGAATGGAGTGTTTTTGTTATATTAATGAGGCAGAATTAGTATAATATGTGTTTTGAGTCAATCTCTATTGAGCAAGCAGAGATAGGGAAAGACTGATGCCAAGCCACATGGAGTTCTCCAAGGAACCAGGAAACAGAAGTTGAAAAGACAAGAATCTTCCCACAGAGCTGACAGAAAGCAAAAGTTTTTCCCTAAAATTTGGACTTTTAACCTCTAAGCTGTGAGAAAATAAATTTGTTAAAGCCATACACATGTGGTATTTCTGTTACAGCAGCACTAGATAACTAAGACAACACTAACACTGAAGCAGGGATTTGAAGTAGTATGCATTACTGTCGCTGTCCTTGCTTACTCCTGCCATGACTGAACACCATTTCGAATCAGTTCAAAGCCCTGCACTCAAGAATGTAGGTTAATTCTGAAATTGATAGGTGTTTCCTAAGAGCCAGATAATAAAAGTTTTACATTTTGTGAGTCACATACGTTCTCCTGAATTTTTAAAAAATATATGAAAGTCATTTTTAAGTTCATAGTTTGCCACAAAGATAAGATCCCCTAAAAGTTCTTCACAGGTTAGGGTGCTAAATGTCGTCAGATCCTACTTCCTTGGTCCTTCCCCATTTATGATGTGTTTTATGTAATTTCTCAATGATCCTCTTAACAGACCTATGAAACTAGTAGTGCATGCATTTTTATATTTTTTATAAAGAAATGGAAGTTCAAGAAAGGCTAAATGCTTTCCCCAAAGCCTCACAACAAAAAACATAAAACCATTAACTTGAGTCGTCAATAAAGCTGAGCTTAATCTTTTGATCTCCCATTTATAATGGAGTCTTATTTTTCAGACAAAGTCTAAAATACAAAAGAAAAAAATTGATGGGACTCCTTCATAAACTTACATGGCAACAATTCACAACCATAGCTGTCATTTTGACCAATTAAGTTTCTAGAAAAATTTGAAATCAACATATTCATGTGCTGCGTTTTATGGCAAATTCCTTACAAACTATAATCCTTTGAAGTAAGTAACTCAAACACAAAAGAACTTGACTTACAGGTATTGAGTTTAGTGATATTTCCCTTAATTAGGCATCCTGAGACTTGTGTTCACAAAATAAAAGAAAGTAAATTTCACGGATGCCTAAATGATCAGTAAAAAGCCAGTGCTGAGAATAAGTGCTTAAATAAAATCATTCATAACCTTTCCTAGGGCTGGTATTCATTTTTAGAAGAA